AGCTTAGAGTGAATGCTGATGCCAGCAGGGTGCCAGGTATCTTGACTGATGTTCATTTTGGGTGCTCAGACTTAGATACTTTTAAGGATCCTGAATTTCAGAAAGTGCAGGAAAAAAACAGGGTTCTTCATAGTATATTAGATGGGTCATTGAAATCACTAGTCACTCTATACAGTTTTGCCTTTTCCATCTCATGGCCATTACTCTCAGCTCGTTCTCATTTTAGCTCAGATTTACCAGTAACAATCCCTTCATTATTATTTGCATTAATCATTTAGATGAACGTTAGTGTCACAAAGCAGTGTTTCTAAAGAAAAGAATCCTTGTGCAAAGCAACTGGATCACAGCTGAGAATCTGGCAAAGAGCTGTGCCTGCCTTGGAAAGAAGTGGATTGTCAGCTCTAATTATGTGTGTAACAAATGGTTCTACTGCAGGGAAATTCATACCAAGCCAGAGGGCCATCACAATGCTCTTGCAGCCTTTACCTTCACTTTGTTTAAGTTCTCAAATAGGACTTTGTTCAGCTCTCATTGGTGTCAGTGGTAACTGGATCAAGTCTGCAAGGTTTAAATATGTCCTGTATTGGTTTTCTGTATGATTTCAACATGACTGTATCAAATCACAGACCCAAAACCTGTGTGATCCTCCCCACCAGCATAATGGAAATAAATATGGCAAGATGGAAATAAAGAATAGGGGGAACGAGGGAAGTGAAATGGTGACTCAGTATTTTAGGAGTCTAGAATTGTTCCTAGCAGAGAGCTAACAGGGAAGGATGCAGGTGAGTTGCCCAGGGACTAAGAGGAATGTAATTTATCTTCATAACATGTATCTGCACGGTTTTTTTCACACAGATACAGGGAGAATTGCTTGTCTGTGCCTCTGTACATGAGCGTATCAATAGAAAACAGTGGAACTTGATCATTTAAATCACTGTGAATTGGTATCTCGGAACCATAGTGCAAAGCATGATCTTGCTGTCAGATTGCATATGGAAGAGTCATTTGCTTGTATTTTTAATCAAAAGAGAATAGGAGCAGCTGAAAAGCTGAAGAATGAGAAAGAGATTTCATGAGTGTTTTCACTGCTGTGGATTATTAGCACAAAAATTATTCCATTGTGACATTTTTGTGGAATTTTGCACTACTAAATCTTATATTTTAATCCTGAGTGATGCTCCAAGTTGCATTTAACTGTTCATGCTCAGTAAGATAAGCACCATTCCTTTGTCTTTAGAATGGGCAAAAAAGTGACAGTGAAGTGACAGCAAAGCCAGGAAACCAACAATAGCCAGTTGCAACATGGAGGTAGCCTTCTAATAAAGTTGGAGCAGAATCATGCTCAGTATATTTTTGTACTTGTAAGAGAGAAGGCTGACTAATAATAGAGGTCATGTGTTGACCAGTTTTCGCTGTCCACTTAAATGCTGCTGAGAGTTTGTGCTGCATGTTAGACAAGTAGGCCATATCTATCCTGCCTCTGTGCCAGACCTGGGAGATTGCCTTTGAGGGGAACATCCCACTGCCTTGCTCCCACTCTTCACACTCTAACATCCAGAAATTAGGAACTGTGGCTGTCTTAGAGTATGCACAACAAAGCTTACCTAAAGCAAAAAGCCTGAAAGTGACTCTGAAGTGCACACTGAGGCCTACTCTACATTAGCTTCACTGCCTAATTGCTGATTTTTATCCATACTAAGCAAAAGTGGGTGAGTAGGGCATACGTTTCAGTGATTTAGGAGGACCAATAGGACAAGACACTGATGGGAGAGATATAAAACTCTCCCACTTCCTACAGGACCTTGTTGCAATACTTCCTACAGGGTCTCGTAACTGAGAATCTGATTCCT